CAAGCACTAGATTTAAGAGAAAAAGAACGAAATGAACAACACAAGACAAATATTTATGTTACCTTTAGCCGATTACTGACTAAAAATGCAGATATTGGAACTTTCGCTGCTATTACATTCCCGGAACGAGCATGGGGCAACATAGCTTGAGCCAGCTTATCACTGCATGAGTCCGAAACCGAAACTGATCGGGAGCATGCTGTCTGGTGTTACTTTACTACAGGGTGAAACAAGGAGACGGCAGGCTCTTTAAATCGACCGCAAAATTTGGTTTCTTAACCTATCACGCTACGACTTTGTGCAGCGTTGCCCACAGATGGTGCATTTTTTTGTAAAATTTGCAAAGAGCGAACTTACCTGAGGAAACAGTAAAGAAACAGAAAGGCTTAGCTCCTATGGAAACGCAGCGACGCCACCGGTCTTCAAACAGAACGGCGCCGTTTCGCACGGGAGACAAGAGATGGCGCAAGCGGTCGCGACGCCAACGAACGAGCATACGGCGCCGAGAACCAGCGTCTTTAGCAGACAATCTTTTCGACTCAAACGCGGCGCGCGTTCCGCAGGCGGCGACAGTCGCAGAAACAAAAACAGGCGGGGTAACAACAAGGAACTGCAGTTGCTTGTCTGCTAAATACGCCGGCTCTCGGCGTCGTCTGCTCGTTCGTTGGCGGCAGTTGGCGTCGCGACCGCTTGCGCCATCTCTTGTCTCCTGTGCGAAACGGCGCCGTGTTGTTTGAAGACCGGTGGCTTCGCTGCGTTTCCATAGGAGCTAAGCCTTTTTCTTTCTTTACTTTTTCCTCAGCTACGTTCGCTCTTTGCAAATTTTACAAAAAAGAATAAACAAATGCACCATCTGTGGGCAACGCTGCACAAAGTCGTAGCGTGATAGGTTAAGAGACCGAATTTGGCGGTCGATTTAAAGAGCCTGCCGTCTCCTTGTTTCACCCTGTAAATTACTTACAAATCATATGTGGCCCTTCGAAGAGCTAGATTAAGAGAGGTGTCTAGCGTGCCAATTTAAATACAGAGAGCCCTTGTATAACAATATTACTTGCAAATACTCCTTGTATTTATCTGGTAAACAGGAGTACTCACTTGGCCTAATCCTTGTCAAAATATGGTAGGGCATATATACGAATCGGGTCGCTAGGGTTGTCAGAGTAGAGAGTCGCGGAGGTGAGGTGTTGCTGCTGCTTGTGCCCTATTGTGCTGCTGACATGTATGTGCTTGTGCCTTTAACTGTGTTCGGTATGTTGGTTGGTGTTTGTGTTGAGTGTGTGTTGGTGTATAAGTAGTTCCGTGAAATCTAAAATAAAAATGCCTATTTTAATATTTTTAGCGCCATCTAGTGGTTACTACTACACTTCCTAGGTGGCGCAAGCTGCCGCTTGATTTAAAAGCTAAGTTTTGAGCAGTCCTGTAGGTATTTATTAATTAATTTATTTATTTGTTTACCGTCAATGTACGTAGCACATTTCAGAGGGGAGTGAACACACAAAAAATCATGGCAAATAAAACAATCAACTAAGGGTGCTGTTACTGAGTGTTTGTTTAAACAGAACAACGTCAGTGATGGAGGCAATTGAAGCAGGGAGGCGGTTCCCATCTGTTGACGTACGAGGTATGAATGACACACTGAATGCGTTAGTATTGAAGCTTGGTATGCCAACCTTATGGATGTGATCGAGGCGAGCGATAAGAAGGTTCGAGTATAAGTGACTGGCGTAAAAATGAGTTGTGATGGTACATTTTGTAAAACAAGCAAAGACGAGCACATTTACGGCGGAAAGATAAGTCGGGAAATAATAGAATTATTTTCATTTTTGTTAAACTGGACGTGCGATGAGAGTTATGGTGAATTCCGCTCGCAGATATCGAGCGCTTCAAAAGCGCTCCAATTGGAGCGCGCATATTCCGCACGCAGATCTGGCTCGAGCTGGTCATCCCCCTCTCGTAGATCTCTGGCAGCTCCCGCTCCACAGAGCGCCCCAAACCCCGCCGAACTTGCTCTGCGGGATTTCACAGATCTCTCCGGAAATTGGCAGAGCGGCCCACGTGATTTCCGCCTAAATCGGCAGTGCGCATGCGCGCCGCGCGGCGAGGTTGGAGAGGTCGGCGGGCCGGTCGGGCCGTCGAAATGGATCTGTGCGGGTGGGTCGGTTGTTTACGCGGGATTATGACGGCTCGAACGCTTCTACCTCGCGTACATCAGGGATGCAAAGCCGGGACTGTGGAGCGTGGTAAATCGTAAGCGCTGACATCTGTGATCGTGAGAGGAAGAACGACAGAAAAGCCGGATGCAGACGCAAGGTTAGGCCTGTTCATTCTGCAGCGTATGATTGTTTACCTGTTTATACTGCATTCCGCCGGCGTTTTCCCGTGAAATAAAGCAAGAAGTGATTAGGCAACGACCGCGCAAGTGATGGTTTGTTACCTCTGTGTTTATTAAAGTCGTACCAGAAATCTGAACTCCAGCGCGGGCAATCGCTGTCCGTGCCCCGCCGCTTCGAGGCGGCCGAAAGGTATGTGACGGTGCCGAACGCGGACGTATTCGTGATTTGTGACATGGGCGCTGTGGTGCGTATAATTTCGCCCGGCCAGTGCCGCGTGTTATTTCTGCAACTAAGCAGTGACAGTCGCCACTGGTCGTCGGAAAGATCAGTCGGCTGAGGCGTTGGTGGGCTTGTCAAGTTCGAGCAGCGGCCATTTTGAACGGGCGGCGGGGGAAGCGGTGGGGAGGGGCATGGGGGAGGTCGCTCCAAAAATGCAAGTTTATCTTCCCCTTGTCGATTCGGAGCGGGTCCCACGGACCGGAATTTTGCCTCCCTCGCGGATTTTGGGAAGCGCTCCGGATCTACGAGTGGAATTCACCATTAGTTAAGATGACACGAGCTGCTCGATTTTGAATGCTTTCCAATGCAGTGACAAGCAATGTTGGCCGGGATCCAACACGGATGAAGCAGGTGATAGGGGTGTATCGTTAATGTGATCTGTAGTACAGCTAGTGTTAGTGCGTGACACTCTCATAGGCTTCCAATTATTGGTATTTAATTCCATCAGCACAGCATCGCACCAGTGAGCTATGTGGTTAAGATCCGTTTGGAGATGATCAATTTCAGAGTGGTCAGTGATTGTGCGATAGAGAACGCAATCATTAGCGAACAAGCAGATTGATGAAGAAATGTTAGATACTAGATCGTTAATATAAATAAAAAACAGTCGAGCCAATTGGGAGCCTTGGGGCACCCTTGAGTGAACAGACGCCATAGAGGAAATCTTGTTGTTAACACCTACAAATTATTAGAGAATAAGAAACTTTACCGAATGCCCTCGGAAAATCTAGCAAAATACAGTCAGTGTAAAAGACAGAGTTAAGAAAGCGATGAAGATCATGGGTAAAGGAGACGAGTTGAGTTTCACACGAGAATGATTTTCTGAAGCCGTGTTGTGCTAACGTAAAAACGTTGTTAGATTCTAAGAAGGTAGTCAGATGAGAGCAGATGATATGTTCTAAGATTTTGCATGGGATACTTGTTAAGGACATAGGACGATAATTGCATGGATCGTGTTTGACACCTGACTTGTGCAACGGAACCACCTTCTCCAATCATTCGGCACTATACCTGTTTCTAGTGACCATGAAAATAGCTTATGAAATATAATAAAGGAATATATTTTGGTGCTTTTTAAAATGTTTGAATTAATTTCGTCAACACCCGTTGATGAATAAATTTTCAGCCTATCTATTACACTTGAAATATCAACAAAATCCAAAATGACATTGCAGCTGGACTGCGGTCGGCTGACCTTACTACGTCCCGGCCTCTCCGTTCGTTAACAATCGTAATAATTGTGCCACTCAGCCACCTAACTGCTCGTTCTGTGTCGATGAGCTGCAAAGTCCTGGCACACACGCGCACGAGTGGATAACCACGTCGGTAAAGTTAGGCACAAGCAACAAGAAAATAATAATAAAAAAAATACCGGTAGCGTTGGTGCGAGTTGAACGCCTCTCGTCGTTGTCGTCGAAGGTGCCCAGTGATTCATCGCCGCATACGACAAGCATACTTTGTGTTCAATAAAGTCAGCATGCCCATTCCTCGCTTAACGATTTTTTTTTTTGAGCGCTTTCCGCCGGCGGTAAAAAAAACAGTCAATCTAGCGAAAGGCCGTCGGGGGCAATCGCGGCGGTTCCGGTACACAGACTGCCGTCCTTACAGGATATAAGTACGGTAAAGGTGTCTGCGGACGGATGTTTAAAGCGTCTGATGGCGCTTGGAAGACGTCGAATAGGCGTATGCGCTCTATTGTCTCACTCGACCGAAAAAGCCGTAGTTACGAAAAAAGGTCGTTGATGTTGATGATGTTCATGCCAGCAATGCAATACAATACATACATGCCAGAAATGCAATACAACGCCTATTTTTTATCACCTTATCTCAGACGCCGTTGCATAAAACGTGCACGGCACGTGCACATTCCAAGCGGCATAATGCTGCGCACATCACCGTCTAATTATAAAAGGTGAGTTTGCTGGAAATCGAATTCCTCAAAAAACAATTGGAGTCGGGAAACTCGAACGCCGTTCCCCTCCATACATGCCAGAAATGTATTTCGGCGCGTATTTTGTATCACCTTATCTCAAACACTCTTGTGTGGTAAAACATAAATATAGAAATATTAAGGTCAACGAATGATATTGAAGCTAGGACTCAAGTTCCCGTGCAGCCATTCTTCGAGCCAAATTTTTACAGTGACTTTTTTTCTATCTATTATTTATTTTTCTTCTTTTTGGTTCGCCGAGGCCATGCTCCAAATTTCTGAAGTAGACAGTGTGACATGTTGATATAAAAATTGTCTTCATTTGTTCTCTTAAACTACGAACGTTCATTTTCATTTTTTTAAACCATATGTAACGCAACGTGTAAGCTCAGTGAGATATTCAAATATCATGGAAAATTTTTAATACATTTCGTTACTGAGGTACAAGTACAGTTTACAAATTTTATTTTAGTACAAGTTGAAATGCATGGCTTGGAAAAACTATATCAAGGAAACAACAGGAAACACTTGTGCCACAAAACAGCCCAGCTTGCAGCGACTGAATATCAAAACATAAAGAACTCACGAGGAGATATACATTTTTATAAATTAAAGACTCAGATGAAGGGCACATAACATTGCTTTATCTATCGCAGTCGCCGTAAAAGAAGTTATTTCCCCTTACAATAACTGCACCATTCATTGATAAGGCCCTCTTTCCTCTTCTCCAAGTCATCCTTCCATTTATTGAGTTTTTCTTTCGCGTCTTCATTGCAGATCTGTGGAGAAAGAAAATGCAAGACTGATTTTATAGCGATCAAAAGGCACACCTCAGCGTTCAAATACATCTTAGTTTTTGTGCTTTTCGTTTTTTTTTTTATTGCATTGCACTTTTTGTATAATAGTGTATCTGATAAAATATCCACTTCAAAACAGGCACTAATATCTTTTTTTTTTTTTCAAATGAGATTGGTGTATTTGGGTGAAGATTTCGTTTCAGCGCTCGAACCAAGAAATTGTACTTTGAGCCTCTTGACTGTTTTTATAAGGCAGCTGTGCCCCTATTTCTAGACTTTCACTAAATAAGGCGCACCAATGCTCTTTGACATTGACAACTTACGATATATGGGTTAGATTATATATCGTAATGGCAGTTTCAACACAATCATTCAAATGAGTGGCGTTAACATCCTCAAGTTAAAGGCAGAATGGGCAGACACGTGATCTCGAGCCGGTTATATGCTGCCCAACGTTCATCACAGTCGTGCATTGGGGTTCGCAACCACATCGCACGTGTTAATCTGCAGACAGTGTTAGGAGTCGGCTGTTAGCGTCGCTGCAGCGATTTGGCTCGAGTCACCATCCGAATACTTGTTCACGCATTGAATGTCATGAGACCAAGCCGTGTGCTCCCGCAATACTCGTGTCCAATCTATGAGCTGCATTTGAATATAGTTATTAAAAGATAATCCCACGACTACGACAACGATACGATACCCGTTACTACGTCATTATGTTTGGCGAGGGTGACTTTGATAGAAAAATTCCACACGTGCCGTCGACATTACACAATGACAAAGACGCTTCTTGGTCAGTGGCGTTGCGTGCACGTATACTAGGACAGCACAAGTGCAAGTATGTTTGTGTAAAAAGAAAAACGTCTTAACCTAATGTCTTTCCTTTGTAAGTGATCGCGTTGGTTCAGTGTAAAAACATAAGAAAGGATGAAATGTCAACACGAACAGCCCATCTACGAAAACTGTGCTTTCTGCACTCTGTACCTATATTTTTCTCCCTATGCATTCAAGGTATTTTAAAAACTACTATTTCATCTTGCTACTGTCGTTAATTGTTCAACCACTTCTAATACTGTCGCTTTTATTCCAGCCCCTTTTTTTTATAAATATGCAATCACCTTCAGTACATATATGATCATGCAATATATTTTATATCCTAATGATTATTGCAGCAAAGCAACTGGCAGTACAGGTCAAAACTTTAAGCAGAAATTCGCCTCATCACAAGGCTGAAAGGCGGACGATATTGCGCGCAGCTATTGCCTCCCCATCTATGTCCACCAGTCATCGTCCAGATGATTGTTTGCCTAAAAGCAACACTGAGAGGCTTTAGGAATTGTGGCTGGATCGACAGGTTACGGTTCCTACCAGCCTTTCTAGTAGTCGACGTGATCATGTGAAGTTAGGTATAAGAGGCGTTATCAATTTCATGAAACAATAGTCAACAATGTTAAATAATTGTTAGACGTTAATCTTATTACGTGCTATGTACCGCAGAAAACTATCTGATCATTTGAATATATATAACAAAAAAATCTCATCCTTTCCGCTCTGGTGAAGAAGGAAGAGCAGCGGAGCTGGTAGCTTCTGTTCTCGGCGGTAGCTTTCCAGGCGAGCGATCTGCTCCTCTTTCGCAAGGGAATCTGAAGCGCTCGACGCACGCGGCGGTTGCGGACCCAATCGCGCTGCTGCGTACGTCGCCGCTCCTTCCGCACCCGGTGTTCTTTCCCCGAAGAAAGAGCACGCGGCCGACCAATCCTGAGTCCAAACCGAAACTAATAAGAGTGTAGGAAACAGCGCTCAAAACAGACGAGGACGAAGAAGGAAACACAGGTGACGTGCGTTGCGCTCGTCACGCGTGTTTGTTCTTCGTCCTCGCCCGTTTTTCGAGCCTGTTTCCTACGGGAAATTCCCACCAACTAGCCCAACTATCCATTCTTCTATAATAGCTGGAAAAGGTTGCCCCCATCTATGAACGACGGCGGCAACTAGAGTGGTTGCCTGGTTGCCACCGTCGCTTATAGATGGCCATAGCTGTCCAGAGGTCCGTGTAGGTTTGTGTCGACATTTCTTTGGTACCGGACAGGACCCTGGGGAACCTAGCCCTTAACAGCTCTACTGTAAAAATGACTGACAAAGTCTTTCTCTGCGGATCCGATAGAATAACGCATGGTCTTGCAAACGTAAAAAAATGGTTCGCGTATAAACTCTGAAGGAATTAATAGAGAGTCATGAGTACCACTTGTGGTATAGCTAATCAAAGATCAATTCTAAAATTTGGATACAAAATGGTGGCCTGCCCTTAGTAAAAAAAGAAGTGAACGATAAATAACTTTTTTTAATATACAAAACAGGGAAGCTTTCTGCAACGCGTACCCACTAAAAGATTAAAAAAAATAAAGGCATCGAGAAAATTTTCTCAAGACTTACATTTTCTCTACTCTTGGAACATACCTCCTCTGGCAACGACAGCCTGTGGTTATCACTGCATCCTATGTCGCAACCGGTTGAATACAAAAAACCCTGCATTGCAATGACATATAACGTCACAAATAAAAATTAAAAATAGAGCTATTTTAGTGAAAGGAAAAAAAAAGTTGAAAAGGTGAGGCAGAGACAAGGAACCCGACCCTCACATTCCTTCTCGCAAACCCTCCCACAACACAAAAAGAGGAAAGAACCTCGTGGTCCTCCTCGCCACCTTCCAATCTCTTTTTTTTTTCTTAACTACCTGCTTGATTTTTTTTTAAATTTTATTTTTGCATGTTTGGGGTGAGTACAAAGAAAGTATAACAGTAAATCCAGACCAAAAAAAATTCCCATTCCCATTTTTTTTGCAGTGTTCTTTATTTATAAAACTCAAACGTCATTCTTTCCGTCAGCAGGAAACTCACAAATAACGACCCAATTGATCCTGCTTAAGGCCAGTCCGAAGGCGTGAAAAATTAACAGAATTCCCATCAGGTTTTCTAGGCATCCGCAACACAGGAGCACGGCGTCCCACGAAGAGACGAAGCTCCTCAAGGGCAGCAGGTTGCGGGCAGACGGAGACTCCCCTAGGGAAACTGAGTAAGTCCCGCAGCTTCTCGTTATCTGCCTGCGCACCTGGGTTAGGGCTTTGAAAGGAAAACTAAAGCGGCTCTGTATTTGAGTAAAAACATCTTCATTTGGCCGCCAGGATCACGAATATCGAGGTCATTTTTTTTATGCACATTTTGCTGCCGAAAATCATTTTCAAAGTACCGCTGAAGACCCTCCTTCGCGGAGCGTTACGTCACAAAAGGAGTTTTCGGAATCACCGGTCTCGAGCATCTTCAGCGCCTTTTATATCTATGCACGGGCACTCTTGATATTTTAGAAAGGGTCAGAAAAAGACGTCCCGACTGGTGTCAGTGCGGGGGAATATGCCTGGCAAGCTTGCAATTGTACGCGCTGCTTAAACGAGGGACTCGCGCTTGGCGGTCGAAAGATCCTTCTGTGATGTAACGACTGGTCGGAGGTTTTTCTTCTTTTCTCGCGTTTAGTTACATCTTAATTCGGGGCAAACTAACGTGATATTGAACATGGTTAAAATCGCGCACAAAGAGACGAGGACAAACGAGGAAGGAACACAGAACGCGCGCCTGTCTGTGTTCTGTGTTCCTTCCTCGTTTGTCCTCGTCTCTTTGTGCGCGATTTTAACCATGTTCAACGTTTGCCAACTCACCCAACTTACTACTCTTCTAACGTGATATTCGAGTTCGCGCGGTAAAAATAATCAAAAATAAACCTCTAACTCGTTTTTTTTTCTCTTTTTTCAAGAACCTCGTCAGCTTTTTTTTTATGCGTTTGCTTTATGCCCATCTGCTGTGCTGATCTTGTGCTGGTTTGCACTAACCACAGTTTGCAACGTCGACACGGGATGGCACCATAGCCCCACTGGCTGTGCAAACTGGATAGGAAACACCTTCTGCAAGCGCCGACAGATGGCGGGCTGGTTGCAGCTGCGCGCTTTGGACGCTCTCGGAAGCTCCTGCCTCCGGCTTTAGAGACTTGTGGATGCACACGGGCTGCGTTTCAGTTCCTCGACCTGCCACGCCGCGCACGGACACGAACGCAGACAAGTCCCGCAACGGCCCCACTGTAGATTTGATCTACAGTCCCCACGCCATGTACTTACATAACATTCAAAGTCGCCATATGTGGCTTATTTTACGTTGTACAGGCCGCCAATGTGTATGATCTACCCGCTGCAGGATTAAACGCTCGTTCGCGGAGAATAAACAAGCACTATTTAATGGCTCCGTCCTTTTACGCGCACCGCGCGCACATCCTTCGTGCATATGCTAAGTGAATTGATCTGCTTGCACCAAGAAGAAAAGGGGTTTTCGGGGATATTCACCCCGCGGAAAACTTCTGAGAGGCTCCATTCGCCATGCTTTGTTATATGCAACCGCTACGCCCAATGGTAACGCATTACTTCAAGAATCAGGGAGCAGAGAGCGATTTCCCCCCATTTTTTTTTCTCTCTCCTCTGGCGTCGACGGCCGCCATTTGGGGGCGCTCAAGGCGACAATTGGAAACACAGTTATCTTAATCCGGCGTTCACGTTGTTGGACGTTGTCAATCTTCTCGAAGCACCCGACTTTCACAATGGGCCAGCCGCGCGTTGTGAAATGGTATCGACTGGCCAACGGAAAAGCCTGGGTGTGTCTTTCTATCTTTCTACAGTCGACGTGACAAACGGCGAACTGCAGTAGCGATCGCAGGGCTTCCTGGTTACTGATGTGGTGTCGGTCATGAAAAAATAATGGGCACTCTGGCTTGTCACGCTTTCGTCGAGGCCCTGCACCCTTGATTTAAGAAGGTCCTCTGCTCGCTGCCCACGGTGGTGGTTAATAAATTTCCGCTTCAGTTCGACGGCACATTACTCCCACGAAGCAAGAGAGGCTTCGCGGTTCTCATACCACTGCCTGGAGGCGCCCTTCAAGCGAGAATTAGAGGTTCTGGAGGCGTTGCTCAGCCATCCATTCGCTGTGGCGGGCTACACGTTCATAATACTGCAAGCAGTCATATACATCCTCGTGGGCTGCGCCGTGAAAGGGCGTCGGAGTCATCGTCGCGGTCATCTTTGGCTTCTGCGGCAGGGGTTGGGACATCGGAAGTTGGCCTTTGGTACGGCGGCTTGCTCGGGCGTTGGCGTCTTCTGCGAAGGGTAGCCTTCGGGGCTGAGCGCCTCACTTGGCGGGGTTGTCTTCGGAGGGGTACGCTTCACGTGCATAATATGCGATACCCTGCACCTTCCCCGAAATATCACGAATGACGATTGATGAGGCGATGAAAACTGAAGCCAACTTCATGTTTAATGGGGCGAACTTGTGCCCGAAACAAAATAGACAAAGGCTAGCGTCTCATGCGTCGATGGCGGCAGAATAGCAGGATCGAACGCTTGGGCGAGACAGACCCCGGCTCGGCACGCGGAGTCCCTCATGAAGACGCGTGGGCTTCTGGAACAATTGTGGTAGATGTTTCGGCGCGTACAACATTCTAACCTCGAATAAGCAACAGGGCTCTCGAATTTACAAGAACGTGATATTGCAGACACGAAAAAAAAGGTGTATCCGGGGCCTGGCATCGAACCTCGGCATTTAGCATGGGAGGCACGCACAACAGCCGTTAGGGCTCGGGCGCGATGCCTACTTCGCCGGCTGCGCGCGCGGCATTACGACCCCTTTTAACCAGTGGCGGATGCGGACATTGACATCTGCCACCGCGTCGCCACTTTTATGCCAGATCAAAAGAACATAATTGTTCGCTTCGTCCAGCGCTCAAAAAGGAACACAATTTTGGAAAAGGCCAAAAAAAAACGGATCACTACTGCATCCCTCGAGTTTGGCGGAGCCGAGTCACCGGTTTATGTAAACGAACACTTGACAGGCTTGAACAAAAAACTGCTGGGAACGGCTATCGCGCAGAAAAGAAGGGTTGGGTGGAAGTTTGTGTGGTGCTCTGGTGGCAAAATATTTGCGCGTAAAGATACGACGTCAGATGTACTTAAAATTACTTGCCTGGGTGATGTTGAAAAAATTAGGAATTAGCGTAGAATATTTCGATGACTGCTGTATTTTTGTATAACTTCATAATTCTCGATGGCGGTGCAAAATTGCTTTTACCACCCTCACGAAGTGAATGCGTTGTTTGGAAAAACTGATAAGAAATGTCTCAAATTTTTTCACCTTAACGTTAGGTCAGCGCGATCTAAAACCGATGACCTCTTTTTACTTTTTAACACGTTTGAACCAATGTTCGATATCATCATGCTCACTGAAACCTGGTACAGCGATGACAGCGATGTTTTTCTTTTACCGGGATATGAACACTTTTATCTGAACCGCAAACAAAACCGTGGTGGTGGTGTATCCATCTTGATATCAAACACAGGTTTTGAGATTGTATCCGAATACTCAGCCATTACAGATCATTACGAAGTACTATGCATACGTAAAAACCTTGAAGTGTATTGTGTTGTTTACCGCCCACCAAATGGAAATGTGTCCCAGTTCTTTGAATTTCTAGAAAAGTTGTTTAGCTCTATGACTGAAGTTAAATGCAATTTCATCCTTGGAGGCGACCTAAATATTGATTTTCTTGATCTATCACGTAATCAGTCGGAGTTATCTTTATTACTGTCTGCACATAATCTTCAGAATGTCATATCTCTTCCCACGCGTATAACAGCGTCATGTTCCTCCTTGCTTGACATGTTTATTACCAATCACGATAGCTCAAATATTACTGCTGGAGTAATGTGTTTAGATTTGAGTGATCATTTGCCCATATTCATGCTGATTCATAAACATAACGCTACAGCTAAAACGAAGGTCAATAAACTTCAACCCACCAGATACATTAGAAGCATTAACGATAAAACGTTGCAGGCGTTTAGAAGAAACGTTGAGAGCGCGAACTGGAGCAGTATAATAGGCATAAAGGATATAAATAAAGCTTACGACAAATTTATTGAGGTTTTTAAAAGTATTTATACGTCCTCATTTCCATTAAGATTGGTTAGAACCGATAGACGTGCCCGGAAACCCTGGGTTACTAAAGATCACTTAAAATCAATGCGTGCCAAAGATCGCTTATATAAAGCATTTTTAAAATCGCGAGACTTGGTCAAACTAGCAGAATTTAAGTTACTGAGAAACCACCTGAACGCAGATTTGAGGCGTGCAAAGCGAAACTATTATAACCAACTTTTTGATTTTGAATGTATGAAGCATCCTGACTTGCTTTGGAAAAGACTTAATGCTCTCTTGGGCAAAAATACTAACAATGATAGAATAGAAAAATTAGTTATTGATGGGATGGAAAAGTGCGGTTCTGAACTATCAGATGCTTTTAATCGTTATTTTGTGAACGTTGGGTCTAGTACCTACTGCAGTGATGCAGCACAAAATATACCTAGAGTTTGTGATACTATATTTTTTTATCCTACCGATGAATATGAAGTTTTTTCGACGATAAATAATTTACGCAACAAT